AGTTTAAACGATGGAAGCAGGGCATTGTGGCCTGAAAGCTGGAATAGGACTTGACTCTTTAATGTACACATGTAGAATTTTACATCTCTGTTTTCTCGCCTTGTTTTTGACTTAGTTTTTCAGTGGCTGGAACCTTGATTCAGTCTTTCGTTATTGTAGTGGTACTCCCCAGCTTTGTGTCATCTGTGGATGACATAGGAGTCTTGCTTCTTCATGACAATTGAAGAAGATTGAACAGGAATAGGTCAAAGTCATGAGAGATTTCTCTCCAGCTTTTCAAGGTGTTCAGCTTTAAATCTGTTAACATATTGAACTTGCAAGCCATCACCTTATCCACAGGATATCATCATAGGTGAATGTAGATTGGGTTAGGGTGGCCAAGCTGAAGGTGAGCTGTTTTTAAAAAGCTCAAGAGTTTTGGAGAATCCATGGGAAGCAGCAGGAGACTGAAGTCAGAACTCAGGGAAGCCAAGGTTAGGGACAGCTTTCTTACTGTCTGGGTTTTCCACTCTCCCAAGCTAAAGTCCACAGTAGGCAGCAGGACAGGTGTGGGCAAAGGGCTAACATCTGGGCACTGGCTCTGTTGAAAAAGATGGGTGGGGGAAGAAGGAAGCTGAAATAGAGAGGGATATGGGAGCCTAATGAGCAGGACAGTCCTCCACGACTACTATATCTAGGCGAGAGCTTTTAAATTGCAAAGTATAATCCTTGTCAGGGAGTGTGATCAGTAGGTGGTGACAATATGGGAAGAATAGTCATTGGGTCAAGGAGTTAGGAGGTGATGGAGGGTGACACCGGGGAGTGAGGGTGTCTTACCACTTACGTGGATAAAGGGGATTATGTTGGGAGTTCTCACCAGTCTGCTGTGAAGGACATGGGAGTCACGCAGCAGTTTACTGAGGACTCGGAGGTCACAGGCAGGAGGAGCCGGGCTGGACAGAGTTAGGCTTGCAGTTAGGAGAAGCATGACCACGAGGAGCAGTTCTAGATGAGGAGAGGTGAGGTTGGAAGATAAGGAGGAAATCACTGTCAGCTGGTATTTCAGGAGTTCCCATTCAGGACCCAGACCTGAAATCCAGGGAATCCACTTCTCAGACCCCTTATTTTTGGGAGAATGAGTCCCCCGCCCCCTGCCCCTGCAGCCTGTCTCCTTTCTCTCTCCCTTCCTCCCATGTTTCCATCTGGCCCTGGCCCCTCAAGTGTGATCTTACCAGTCAGCTCCATTCTGGCCAGGGTGTCTGGCTGGCATGGCTCCCTGTTTGGGGCCTCTCCCCCAAATCCTTCCAGGGGCCATGGAGGCGGCTTGGACTCTTACACTTCTGGGCAGAGTAGGGTGGGGCAAAGGTGGGCCGAGGAGGAGGACTCTATCCTGCAAGCGGCAAGAACAGTGACCATTTAACTGAGTTTCAGGAAGAGACTACCTGCAAGGGAAGCAGAGGCTTGGGAGGCTTGAGATGCTGGCCAGCCTGGAACTGCCGAAACTCTGACTTCTCTCACATTTTCTTGTGATGAAAGCATATGGTGGGCCAGGCGCGGTGGTGCACGCCTGTAATCCCAGCACTGTGGGAGGCCGAGGCAGGTAAATCACCTGAGGTCAGGAGTTCCAGACCAGCCTGACTAACATGGTACAACCCTGTCTCTACTAAATACAAAAAAATTAGCTGGGCGTGGTGGTGCATGCCTGTAATCCGAGCAACTTGGGAGGCTGAGACAGGAGAATTGCTTGTACCTGGGAGGTGGAAGTTGCAGTGAGCCGAGATGGTGCCATTGCACTCCAGCCTGGGCAACAAGAATGAAACTCCGGGCTCCTCAGTGAATCTGACGTGGATTTGGTGCCACCTACCCCTGCTGAGAACAGCAGGACATGGTATGTATGCACACATCTTACTTGGCCTTAAATGCTGAGCAACCTTGGTTGTTAGGTCAGAGAAAATCTGGGATGTGATAGAGAATGAAAGCATTGTGGCTTCAGCAGGGAGAAGGGAGTGAAAAATGGGATACTGGGCCTGGGTGAGGAACTGGCAAACATGTACAATGTGTTGACAGGCAACTTCTGTGGTGGTGCATGGGGTTCGGGCAGGGAATTGCACAGAGCTGTAACTGGGACCACTAGCTGTAACTAGAGGTCAGGATTAAAAGGTGGTATGGGAGAAATTAAACTCTCTTTCTTTCCCTTTCTACCCCTACACATAAAAGCCTCTGGAGCTTTTCTTTGCACTCTAAGTCCTGAAAGACTCTGTTTTCTGAGGCCAAGAGATGGGCTAACAACAGTCCTGGGACTTCCTTCCATCACCTGCTGGGTGATGCCCACCTTAGGGGCTGACCTTGCCTTAGGCGCCCCCCAACGTATCTGTCTCCTAGCTCAAACCTGCCTCCCTGCCCCCTCAGCAGACCCCTTCCGGTTCCTTCACAGGACCCCCCACATGGCTTCCTCCTCCTTTCACAAGTTGTGCAAAGAGGTTTGCACCTGATTCAATATTGGGATTTCCTGTAGGTCTGTCAACATGCATGGGCCCTCCTCCCGTTACCCTCTCCTTGCGCCCTGGCTTGCCCGGCCCAGCTTCCCCACCCCGGGATTCAGAACCTTAAGCTAACAAGGAATGACCAGCTAGGAATGGGGACTGGGGCTGTGTCCACCTTAGTGCTGTGTTCACTAAGCCCTATGTACCTCCCTCTCTTATTTTCTCCCTGGGCTCTTGTCACCTTTCCTCAGGGCCAGTCAGGGCTGTGCTGTATTCCACCAAGTAAGTGATCAGTCCCTCAGAAACCAGCACCCCACCCCCTACCCCTGCTCTGTCCTGCTCCTCCCATTCTGGGAAGGCTACACTCTTCTCGACAAAGGTCAGTGCCTGTAGGTTCCAGTTTGCCTGCCCCTCCCCCAGCTGGGAGCCCATTTCTCTTTGCTGTCCTCTCTACCCTCACATAACCCCACACGCTGCTTGCCACTCACCAGGTGGAGAGGGGCTCAAGGACCCAGGTGCACAGTAGGCCGCACTCTGGGGAGCAGATGGGTAGGAAGATGTGGCGGTGGGATACAGCCCCTCCAATGGCAGCAGGTCACACGCCTGCCTGGGCCACCTCTGCCCAATCAGAGGAGGGAGCCACCAGACACTGGCGAAGGCCCCCGGAAGTGACGCCTTCTCTTCCCTGGAGCCCCTGCCTGGACCAGGGTCCACTCCTCCACCCACATACAGCACAGAGAAGATCTGGATAGGGGGATCCATCTTTTCCTGGCGATGGGCAACCTGGGACCTGGAAAGGGACAGGAGCAGACGTTTTTTTTTCCCCCAGGAGGACTTTGGCAGGACGTTTGTGTCATTGGGGAAGAGGCACACAGGTCTTGTTTTAGATCAGGGCACTTTTCAATTCCTGGCTCTCCAAATTTCGTTTCCCTGGACATTACACCTGCTGCTGAAATGCAATAGGATACTTGCTTTTCTTTCTATAACCCCCTAGGGAGTCCTGTCTTGTTATTCCCCCTTTCCAAGAGGGAATACGGATATTGCCTGTATAAGAGAGAAATCTCCTGTTACGGGTTGGCGTTACGGGGAAAGGGTTTAGATGGGTCAAGAGGACTGTCAGAAGTGTGTGTGTGTGTGTGCATGCATGCACTGGTTAAGCCTTGGCTGAGGTGCTGGGGTCCAGTGGCTTGGATGGCTACACGCAGACCTCTGTGCCCAGGGCCCTCCTTTGCTTGTTCTGTCTCCCTTCCATCTCCTACCGTTCCACATGTGACAAGAGGAACACCCAGGCCCGTGTGGCCCTGTCTTAGGAGAGACAGCTGCTGGACCTCCCCGGCAGACACCTCCCTGCTGGCTCCCCTTTTCCTTTGGCCCTAGCTCCAGCTCCTTTCGTTCTTCCCAGTCCCAGTCTCCCCACAGTCTCTGTCCTCAGGGGCTTCCTGGCCTGACCTTGTTACCATCATCCCCCGCCCCCCAGAACTTCCTCGGCCTCTCTCCCGTTCCTCCTCGCCAAGGATGGGCATGCCTGCTGAGAAGTGTGGCCTAGATCCTGGAATTTTCCTGCTCAGCCAGACGAGATGTCTCCTAAGATTAGGAAGGAGGGTGCTGGGACGCCTGGGAGGATGGTGGGTGTGTGTGGGTGGGAGGGACAGGGAGGCAGGCGCCACCACCGAACCAAGATAAAGGAGGTTGGGAGTGGGCTGGAGAGGCAGAGGGTCTCTTGGGTGAAGGAAGGGGGTGAGAAAGCAAGAGGGGACATTGGAATGGGTCTGAGGATACGTTACAATGAGAGGGAGACACTGTCACTCCACAGAAAGGGGGTAACAGCAGAATGAGGAGCGGCCTCAGAGAGGAGGTAAGGAGGCAGGCTAGGCAGTGAGAGGCTGGCGTGGGGTTTGAGGGGTGCTGTGGACCCAGGCAGGGGGGAGATCCGTTGATGGGGCTTTCTTGTACATTGTCATCTGCAAGGGCAAGTCTTCATCCTTCGGGCGGGCAGAACAGAACCGGGTCCTCGCTCACTGAGCGGTCCAGGCCTCAGGCCTAGCCTCTGCCCCTCCCTGGCCAGAGTCTCCCGTCCTGGGCTGGCCACCGACCTCCTGGTCCAGCCGCCCTGTGGCCGCCGGCGGGGGGGCGGGGGGGCTCCGGGCCCGCCTCTCCTCCCCCTCTTCGCGCCCCCTGGTCCCTCCCCTCCCCCTCCCCCGCCCCTCCCTCCTCCCCTGCCCGGTCCCAGCCCCTCCCTCCCCTCCCCCACCCGCGATCCGGGCCGCCGCCGCTGGGCCGGACCCCCCGGGCTCAGCCCGGCCCCTCGCCGAGCCGCCGCCGCCGCCCCGTTTGCTGAGGAGGAGGCCCCCGGCCGGGGCGTTGGGCGCGAGGCATAAAACGGGCCGGAGCCGGCGCCCGGGGCAGTAGAGCCGCGTACGGCCCGGGTCAGTGCCCGCCTGCCTGCCCGCGCTCCTCCCTGCTGCTCCTCCCGCCCCGCCCGGCCCGGCGCCGACTCTGCGGCCGCCCGACGAGCCCCTCGCGGCACTGCCCCGGCCCCGGCCCCGGCCCCGGCCCCGGCCCCCTCCCGCCGCACCGCCCCCGGCCCGGCCCTCCGCCCTCCGCCCTCCGCCCCCCTCCCTCCGCCCGCTCGGCGCCCTCCTCCCTCCCGCCTCCCCAGCTGTCCCGTTCGCGTCATGCCGAGCCTCCCGGCCCCGCCGGCCCCGCTGCTGCTCCTCGGGCTGCTGCTGCTCGGCTCCCGGCCCGCCCGCGGCGCCGGCCCTGATCCCCCCGCGCTGCCCATCCGTTCCGAGAAGGAACCGCTGCCCGTTCGGGGAGCGGCAGGTAGGTGGGCGCCCGGGGGAGGCGCGGGCGGGAAGTCGGGCTCGGGCGCAGGTGGCTCGGCGCGGCTGGCGGCCGGAGGGTGGGCGGGGGCCGAGGGGCGCGGCGCCCGGGACCTGGGACCCGTGGGCAGCCCCAGGGGCGGCACACGGCGCGAGCAGGGCAGCGGCCGCCAGCCAAGCCCGTCCCCGCAGGCTGCTCCTTCGGCGGGAAGGTCTATGCCTTGGACGAGACGTGGCACCCGGACCTGGGGGAACCCTTCGGGGTGATGCGCTGCGTGCTGTGCGCCTGCGAGGCGGTGAGTACACCCCGCAGCCGGTCCGGGCCCTGGCGGGCGGGTGGGGAGCCCCGGGGTGCGCGGGCGTCGGAGTGAACTCGGAGCTGCCGAGGAGGAGGCCAGTCGGCAGAGGTTGGGGGGCGGTTTCTGGTGGAGGAAGAGGAACCGGCCCCTTCAAGTCTTAGGTGCTGACTGTGACTGATCGCCCACCCTGCGCGAGGCTCTGTGCCAACTGCGTTTCGTTCCCTGCTCACCTAACTCCCCTGGCAGCCTTCCTAGATAGACAGTATTATTATTCCCATTTTCCAGACGGGGACCGTGAGGCCCAGAGAGGTGAAGCAGCTTGTGTAGGGTCACGAAGCTTGCAAGTGGCAGAGCTGGCAGACTCTGCGGGACATCCTTGCCCGGGGGTCTCACCAGCTGGCATCTTGCACTCACTTGGTTTTCCCGCCTTTTCCGGGAGCAGCCTCAGTGGGGTCGCCGTACCAGGGGCCCTGGCAGGGTCAGCTGCAAGAACATCAAACCAGAATGCCCGACTCTGGCCTGTGGGCAGCCGCGCCAGCTGCCGGGACACTGCTGCCAGACCTGCCCCCAGGGTAAAGCTTGCTCCGCCCTGCGGGGAGGGCTGCGGGCCTTGATGCTAGGTCCCGAACCACTTGGATGGGGCGGCAGACTGGCCTTTACCACGGGCCCGCTGAAGCCCGTGCTCCCCTCCCGCTCCACCCCCGAACCACCCCCCCACCTCTTCGCAGAGCGCAGCAGTTCGGAGCCGCAGCCCAGCGGCCTGTCCTTCGAGTATCCGAGGGACCCGGAGCATCGCAGTTACAGCGACCACGGAGAGCCAGGCACTGAGGAGCGGGCCCGTGGTGACGGCCACACGGGTAGGGGGCTGGTGGACATTGGGGTTGTGGTTGAGGCTGGGCCACCAAAGCAGCGTTTGACAGTGCTCAGGCCATCTTCCTCCTGTCCCAGACTTCGTGGCGCTGCTGACAGGGCCAAGGTCGCAGGCGGTAGCACGAGCCCGAGTCTCGCTGCTGCGCTCTAGCCTCCGCTTCTCCATCTCCTACAGGCGGTGAGAAAGGGGAAGGAGCAAGGAGGGGTCAGCTGCCGGCCGGCCGGCCGGGAGGGAAACTGGGAGAGCCGGGAGGAGGAGCTGCTTTTGGCTCTGACCGGCCTCACCCGACCTCTCATTCCCAGGCTGGACCGCCCCACCAGGGTCCGCTTCTCAGATTCCAATGGCAGTGTCCTGTTTGAGCACCCTGCAGCCCCCACCCAAGATGGCCTGGTGAGATGATGCCATTTGTGAGCACTGGTCCAGTCTGGGCACTGTGCTGAGAGCATTCTCTGCATTGCCTTCTGTGGTCCTCACCACAGCCCAGTGGGAAGAAGGCACTGACAGGATGATGTCCATTTTACAGACAGGGGTACTGAGGCTCAGTAGGAGGGTGGGATTCTTGGAAGTACACAGCTAGCAAGTGGTGCAGCCAGGGCTGGAACCCAAGCATCTGGCTCCGGGGTTCTTTCTTAAGCTTCCTAGGGCACCCTGGAGGCTCCTTCCCATGTTCCTTTTTCACCAGGCCTTGGCCTGCTAACTGGCCTAGCCAGCGCAATATCTGAGCGTAGGGCCCTCTTGTCTATGCTCCAGGTCTGTGGAGTGTGGCGGGCAGTGCCTCGCTTGTCTCTGCGGCTCCTTAGGGCGGAACAGCTACATGTGGCACTTGTGACACTCACTCACCCTTCGGGGGAGGTCTGGGGGCCTCTCCTCCGGCACCGAGCTCTGGCTGCAGGTAGGGAGCACAGAGCCCCGGGTGTGGAGCTCCAAGTCTTCTCTGTCCCCAGGAAAGGGGAGGGAGGTTTCTGACGGGCTCTTGTCATCATCCCTTCCCCAGAGACCTTCAGTGCCATCCTCACACTAGAAGGCCCCCCACAGCAGGACGTAGGGGGCATCGCTCTGCTCACTCTCAGTGATACAGAGGACTCCTTGCATTTTTTGCTGCTTTTCCGAGGGCTGCTGGAACCCAGGAGTGGGGGTAAGTGGGATGGGGGCAAAACATGTGAGAAGGTTAGGGAGAGCACCTGTCTCAGAAAGGCCCACATGTGCGGCCTTGCAGGACGAACCCAGGTTCCCTTGAGGCTCCAGATTCTACACCAGGGGCAACTACTGCGAGAGCTTCAGGCCAATGTCTCAGCCCAGGTGAGTGGGGACCTGGCTCTGGCCACCACTTGCTTTGGCCTCTTGCTATTGCCCATCACACCCTGCTCTGTCCCCAGGAACCAGGCTTTGCTGAGGTACTGCCCACCCTGACAGTCCAGGAAATGGACTGGCTGGTGCTGGGGGAGCTGCAGATGGCCCTGGAGAGGGCAGGCAGGTCAGGGCTGCGCATCAGCGGACACATTGCTGCCAGGAAGAGCTGTGACGGTGAGGCAGGGTGGGGCCTGGTGCCCTGGGCGTGTACAACTGAGAGGCACAGACACGTGCCAGGGAGGGGCCAAAGTGGGCATGGGAGTGATCCTGAGGCCTGGGGGTGTAAGCAGCCATGGGGTAAGCCTAGTCTCAACTGTCTCATGCCCCTCTGTAGCCCTGCAAAGTGTCCTTTGTGGGGCTGATGCCCTGATCCCAGTCCAGACGGGTGCTGCCGGCTCAGCCAGCCTCGCGCTGCTAGGAAATGGCTCCCTGATCTACCAGGTAAGTGTCAGGGGCTGCAGAAGATGGGGGGAGGAGCAGCAGGACAGGCCCCAGGCCTTTACTACCTCTCCACTTTGCCCTCCTCCACCTTGCCTATCAGGTGCAAGTGGTAGGGACAAGCAGTGAGGTGGTGGCCATCACACTGGAGACCAAGCCGCAGCGGAGGAATCAGCGCACTGTGCTGTGCCACATGGCTGCACTCCAGGCAGGAGGACACACGGTGAGGGCTCCAGGCGGAACTGGACCCGGGGCCCAGTGCATGTGCTCTGGGAAGCCAGGTGGGATGATCAGGGGTTCTCAGTATCATCCACTCATTCACGGTTCTCCCACTCACTCATTCATTCATTTCACATTTTTAGTGAGCCCTAAACTAGGGACTAAAGTACAAAGAAATCAGACATGGCCCCTGTGCCCAGCAAGCTCACAGCCAAGCAGGAGGTGTCAGACCTGGAGAGCCGTGCCGTAGACCACACAGTAGTGAATGCAGCAGCAGTGCTTGCTCACAGGGCCTTTCCACACGCTGGGTGCCGCACTGCTGGCCTTACGTATTTTGGCTTTCACAGTACCCATTTTGTAGATGAGGAGGTGAAGGCTTGGAGAAGTTAAGTAACTCTCCAAGGCTGTCACATAGCTAGGAAGTGGCAGGAAAAGGCCTTGAAACTGGACCTGCCAGGTGCTTCTCCTGTGTTTCTGGTGTGCGGAAGTGTGTATGGGTGGAGCGAGGGCGCAAAATGGGCCAAGGCTTGAGAACCTTGTGCTTGTGTGAGACTGAGGGAGGCCTATCCTTCCCTGCCCCCCAGGCTGTGGGTATCTGCCCTGGACTGGGTGCCCGAGGGGCTCATATGCTGCTGCAAAACGAGCTCTTCCTGAACGTGGGCACCAAGGACTTCCCGGACGGAGAGCTTCGGGGGCATGTGGCTGCCCTGCCCTACAGTGGGCATACCGCCCGCCAGGATAGTGAGTGCCCTTAGAGGTCTGTCTGCCCTTTGGTTTCCTAGGATATTCAAGGGATGGTGGCAGACAGCCAGAGCCTGGTGTGTCTTTCTTTGTGCCTAAGCTCTGGTTGCCAGCTGAAGGTGGGGACGTATAGGGTGGCACTGCTGGCAGACTCTTCCTGTTGCCGAGGTGCAAGGGTCTAAAACTTGCTGCACCCCAGGCCCTGGACCTATGCACAGTATCTTCCAGCTTGTGGAATCTGTGCTGGGGAGCTGGGGAATGCTGGGTTTGAGGCCTTTCCCTAGGCCACTTTCTTACCTCTCATCTCTTCTCTGTCTGGACCCAGTGGTGCCTGTGCCCCTAGCAGGAGCCCTGGTGCTACCTCCTGTGAAGAGCCAGGCAGCAGGGCACGCCTGGCTCTCCCTGGATACCCACTGTCACCTGCACTATGCAGTGCTGCTGGCTGGACTTGGTGGCTCAGAACAGGGCACTGTCACTGCCCACCTCCTTGGGCCTCCTGGAACACCAGGGCCCCGGCGGCTGCTGAAGGGATTCTACGGCCCAGAGGTAAGGATACGATGGTAGGCAGCAGCTTGGAACATTTCTGCATTTTAGCTTGAAGGGCTCTGTGGGCCTGTGATGGGGGGAAGCAGAGAGCAGGCAGCCTGGTATAGAAGAGCTGGCATGAGCCAGGCACGGTGGCTCATGGCTGTAATCCCAGCACTTTGGGAGGCCAAGGCCGGCAGATCACCTGAGGTCGGGAGTTCGAGACCAGCCTGACCAACATGGAGAAACCCCATCTCTACTAAAAATACAAAATGAGCTGGGTGTGGTGGCATGCGCCTATAATCCCAGCTACTTGGGAGGCTAAGGCAAGAGAATCACTTGAACCTGGGAGGTGGAGGTTGCAGTGAGCTGTGATTGCACCACTGCACTCCAGCCTGGGTGACAAGAGCACAACTCCATCAAAAAAAAGAGCTGACATGGGCTGAGGAGTCACACAGACCTGGGCATGACTCTGACTCAGCTTTTCATTATTCATTCTCCTTTCTATGTCTCTCTCTGGTGGGATGTCTTGGATAGTATGTAATATCCTTGACCTCAGAGGGGTAGGTGGGATGGACTAAGCCCCTTCAAGTGGGTGAGTTCTCATGGACTTGGAGTCAGAGAGACCTGGCTTCTGACTCCACTCTATTGCCAATGGGCTTTTCTACCCTGCAGACTTTATTTACCCTCTCTGGATCTCAGTTTCTTCATCTGTGAATTGATGAAGGCACTCAGCCCTAAAGTGCCCTATTCCCATCCATTATCCTGTCTGTGTTCAGGCCCAGGGTGTGGTGAAGGACCTGGAGCCAGAGCTGCTGCGGCACTTGGCACAAGGCACGGCCTCCCTACTGATCACCACCAAGGGCAGCCCCAGAGGGGAGCTCCAAGGGCAGGTAGGAGGGCAGCGTGGGCAGTGGGGAGGGTGCAGAGTTGGGGGGCATTGTGTGCCCTTGCACTAGTCACTTGCTGTCTCTGAGTCCTGGGGGTGGTCGTATCACACCTGCTGGCTGGTGGGGAAGATGAAGACAGACAAGCAACTCGAGGAGGCTGGCAGTCCAGCGCCCTATCCCTGGCAGCTGAGGTGGCTGTGGAGCTAAGGGCATCCTCCTGGGCCACCGCAGTCCTCAGGGGTCAGAGGTGTCTCCTGCTGGCCGGCTCCTGCTGGCGCAGTGAAGACACGAGGGGAGCCCCGGCGCTGCCTCAATTGGCCTCTCCTCCAGGTGCACATTGCCAACCAATGTGAGGTGGGCGGCCTGCGCTTGGAGGCAGCTGTGGAGGCGACCAGGGCTGACGGGGTGTGGGCACTGGGGGCTCCAGATACAGCTGCTGCTGCACTGCCCGGGGTGCCTGGTCCCCCAGCCCTAGCGCCTGCCAAATCTGGTGGTCCTGGGCGTCCCCGAGACCCCAACACATGCTTCTTCGAGGGGCAGCAGCGCCCCCACGGGGCTCACTGGGCACCCAACTATGACCCGCTCTGCTCACTCTGCACCTGCCAGGTAAGAGGTCCCGGAAGGCACACTGGGTCCTGGCATCTGGGGCAAGGGTCCTGGGCACCCCCATCAATGCCTCCGCCCCTCTCTGCAGAGACGAACAGTGATCTGTGACCCGGTGGTGTGTCCTCCGCCCAGCTGCCCGTACCCGGTGCAGGCTCCCGACCGCTGCTGCCCTGTGTGCCCTGGTGAGTTTCCTGCAGGGGAGTGGAGGGAGTAGTCTGCCTAGCGCCGACCAGTCCTCTGGGCAGGTAAGGAGGGTGGTCACCTTCTGCTTTCACCATTCTTTGGCTCCACAGAGAAACAAGATGTTGGAGACCTGCCAGGGCTGCCGAGGAGCCGGGACCCAGGAGAGGGTAAGCTGGAAGGGTGTGTGCAGGGGTGGGGGCCTCAGAGGAACCATTAGGTTGAACCAGGAAGGGGTTAAGAAGCGGAGAGTATGTAGGGGGTGGCCTGAGGAGCACAGGTTCCAAGCGATGCCCGGCAGGACTCATTACTGTGATTGGCCCCCAAGTGGGCCCTTGGCTTAGGCTCATGTGGGGGTGGCCTGAGGGGCACAGGTTCCAAGGGATGCCTGGCAGGACTCATTACTGTGGCCCCCAAGTGGGCCCTTGGCTTAGGCTCATGTGGGGGTGGCCTTAGGCCCAAGCCTTGGTTTTGGGCCCAGCTGATGAGCTCATACTAATGGCTGCTGGGCCCTCTTCCCCACCAGGCTGCTATTTTGATGGTGACCGGAGCTGGCGGGCAGCGGGTACGCGGTGGCACCCCGTTGTGCCCCCCTTTGGCTTAATTAAGTGTGCTGTCTGCACCTGCAAGGTATGGCCACCCAATCTTCTCTGGTGCCATAACCCAGCGGGGTCTGCAGAGATGGGGAGGGGCTGCCAGGTGAGGAAGGCCCATCCTTGATGAGGAGAGCTCAAGGATCAAAACAACATGAGAAAAGGCCCTGGCGCTTTGAGAGTTGGCTTCCAGTGGGAAAAGGGATGGGGCTGATCTGGGTGTGGATTCTGGCTCTGCCAGCTAACTAGCTCCAATGACCCTAGGCACCCTCTGTCCCTGAGCCTCACTGTCCTCTCCTGTAAGCAGATATGATGGCAGCTACCTTGCAGGGTTCCGATGAGGAGCAGAGTTTAGGTCTATAAAGCAAGCCCAGGCCTCTGAGTAAAAGGCCGCAGAGAGACTACATTGAGGTGTGGAACAGGAGAGGGAGCAGGCAGGAGGCTTATGTGCCCCGCTTCCTGACACTCCTTGCTCAATGGATCCCTACAGGGGGACACTGGAGAGGTGCACTGTGAGAAGGTGCAGTGTCCCCGGCTGGCCTGTGCCCAGCCTGTCCGTGTCAACCCCACCGACTGCTGCAAACAGTGTCCAGGTAAGAGAGGTGGCTGGGCACTGAGCCTCACCTTTGGGTTGAGGCAGGCCTTGTTCTGGGTGAGGGGAGGGTGCTCACTAATTGAGCACTTACTGAGCACTGCTCTAGGCCTAGCCTGGAGCCAGCACTATGAATGCAGTGGAAAGAATGTCATATACTAGTGGGAATGATGGGTTCTGGTTCCTGCTCCATTCATCCATCCATCCATCCATCCATCCATCCATCCATCCATCCATCCATTTATCCATCCATCCATCCATTCACCCAACCACCCACCCATTGATGCATCCATCCATCCATTCATTCATCTATCCATCTACCCATCGATACATCCATCCATTCATCTATCCATCCACCCATCCATCTATCCACCCGTCAATGCATCCATCCATCCACCCATTGATGCATCCATCCATCCATTCATTCATCTATCAATCCACCCATCCATCCACCCATCAATGCATCTATCCATCCATTCATTCATCTATCCATCCACCCATCCATCCATCCATCTACCCACTGATGCATGCATCCATCCACCCACCCATCTACCCATCAATCGATCCATCCATCCATCCATCTACCCATTGATGCATCCATCCATTCATTCATCTTTCCATCCACCCATCCATCCATCCATCCATCCACCCATTGATGCATCCATCCATTCATCTATCTCTCCACCCATCCATCTATCCACCCATCAATGCATCCATCCTTCTACCCATTGATGCATCCATCCATCCATCCATCCCCCTATTGATGTATCTATCCATCCATTCATCTATCTGTCTATCCATCCATGCATTCATCTATCCATCCATCTACCCATAATGCATCCATCCATCCACCCACCCACCCACAGATGCATCCATCTATCCACCCATCCATCCATCCATCCTTCCATTCATCCATCCATCGATGTATCCATATATCCATCCATCCATCCAACCATTTGTCTATCCACTCACGGATGTATCCATTCATCCATCCATCCATCCATCCATCCATCCATCCATCCATCCATCTATGCTTCCACTCATCTGTCCATCCATTGATGCATCCATCTATCCTTCCATCCCTCTGTCCATCCATCCATCTATTCATCTATCCATCCATCCATCCATCCATCCATCCATCCATCCATCCATCTATGCTTCCACTCATCTGTCCATCCATTGATGCATCCATCTATCCTTCCATCCCTCTGTCCATCCATCCATCTATTCATCTATCCATCCACCCCTCCATCCATCCACCCATCAATGCATCCACCCATCAATGCATCCATCCCTCCATCCATCCATCCATCTGTCCACCCGCCCATCCAAATTTATCACCTACTAAGTGTCAGAAACTGCTAGGTGCTGGGGATTCCAAGAGAATACTCATAAAATCTGGTTGGCCTGCCTGGACTGACCCTTTCTCTTTTCCTCTCAACAGTGGGGTCAGGGGCCCACCTTCAGCTGGGGGACCCCATGCAGGCTGATGGGCCCCGGGGCTGCCGTTTTGCTGGGCAGTGGTTCCCAGAGAGCCAGAGCTGGCACCCCTCAGTGCCCCCTTTTGGAGAGATGAGCTGTATCACCTGCAGATGTGGGGTAAGTGGGGAGCAGAGGCTTGTGTGAGGTGGGTACTGGAGGCCTGGTCTGGAGTAGGGAGACCTTCCCAGGGAGGTCCCTGAAGAGGCTGAAGGCCACTGTGTCCCAGTGCCTCTGGGGGACCCTCAGTGTCTGCTCTGTCCTGTACCAGGCAGGGGTGCCTCACTGTGAGCGGGATGACTGTTCACTGCCAGTGTCCTGCGGCTCGGGGAAGGAGAGTCGATGCTGTTCCCACTGCACGGCCCTCCAGCAGCGTAAGTGAGGGAGTCCAGGGTCAGCAGCTATGAGCCAAGGGCTGACTGCCCATGGGACTCCTGGTCAGGGAAGGGAGTACTCCCTGTGTTCAGGAACAGTGCAGCCTGCCTCACAAGTGCCATTCCAATCCACCCTCACAGCTACCTGGTAGAATTGTTATTTCTTACCTTTTCTTTACAAATGAGATTTCTGAAGCTCAGCAGAATTAAACAATGAGATGAAGGTACCCCAGCTGTGTGCACTGACTGACTTAGAAAATGCTAGCCTTTCTGGGACCAGGGCAGGGAGGCTTTGCTCTGCCCTCCATGCCTCTCTGTGCCTTTCCACTCCCTCTCCCCTCCTCCAACGTTCCCTCCCTTCTGTCTCCAGCAGCCCCAGAGACCAGGACTGTTCCAGAGCTGGAGAAAGAAGATGAAGGCTCTTAGGGAGCAGCCGGAAGGCCACATGACCAAGAGGATGGGGCCTGAGCTGGGGAAGGGGTGGCGTTGAGGACCTTCTTGCATTCTCCCGTGGGAAGCCCAGTGCCTTTGCTCCTCTGTGCTGCCTCTTCTCCTACACCCACTACCTCTGGGAACCACAGCTCCACAAGGGGGAGAGGCAGCTGGGCCAGACGGAGGCCCCGGCCACTCCAGCTCCTGCCCTGCCACCCTCGGCCTCTGTCCTGGAAGCCCCACCCCTTTCCTTCTGTACATAATAATGTCACTGGCTTGTTGGGATTTTTAATTTATCCTCACTCAGCACCAAGGGCCCCTGACACTCCACTCCTGCTGCCCCTGAGCTGAGCAGAGTCATTATTGGAGAGTTTTGTATTTATTAAAATGTTTCTTTTTTCAGTCTTTGGGCATGAGGTTGGCTCTTTGCGTCCAGGAATCTGAGTGGGGCTCGGTGGAGAAGGGGCAGAGAGTAGGAACTGAGAGAGAGGAACTCTGAGCCTTGGTGAGCTGAAAGAGACCTGGAGAGGCGGAGGATAGCGCTGCAGTTGGCTGGCATGCCTGGGTTCCATAGCAGGCTGGGGATGGTCCTGGAGATGGTCTAGAGCCTCAAGAATTTGGGGAAGTAGAAGCAGGATTTTGACTAGAGTTTAGTTTCCCACATGGCTGGCATGTTTGCAGACTTCATGTTTGAAGTTGCTTCAAAGAGAGAAACAAAAGCGTCACCAGCCTTTCCCTCCCTCTCTCCCTCCCTACCTCCCCTCCCTCATGACCAAGAGAATGGGGCCTGAGCTGGGGAAGGGGTGGCATGGAGGACCTTCTTGCATTCTCCCATGGGAAGCCCAGTGCCTTTGCTCCTCTGTCCTCCTCCCTCCTCCCTCCCTCCCTCCCTCCCTCCCTCCCTCCCTCCCTCCTCCTCCTTCCCTCCTTCCCTCCTTCCTCCTTCCTTCCTTCCTTCCTTCCTTCCTTCCTCCTTCCTTCCTTCCTCCCTCCCTCCCTCCCTCCCTCCCTTCCTACCTTCCTTCCTTCCTCCCTTCCTTCCTTCCTTCTTCTCAGCAATGGGCTCTCGCTATGTTGCCCAGGCTGCTCTTGAACTCCTGGCCTCAAGTTATCCTCCTGTCTTGACCTCCCAAAATGTTGGGATTATAGGCATAAGCCACTATGCCTAGCCCAGCCTCTATCTTCTTTGTCTAAAATGAGGCAAACACTTTCCTGGAAACACATGTTCTGGACCAGTTCTGGGGCAAACTTGGGTCAGAGTAGATTGGCATCTGCTCTGGTCAACTTTTGGCTGAGCTTACCTTGAGACCAAATTATGTAGAGAATAAGGCAAGACCCTTCTGCCCTGTTACCCTCTTCTCTCTCCCCTTTCTCATTCCTACCATCAAGACCCAGGCATTTTTACAAGCTCTAGGAAATGAGAGTATCAGAACAGAAATTAATGAACGTATATAGCTGCAGATCCATCTTTCATATAAACGATGTGGGGTAAAATGAATCTGGGATGTTTTGGATGTTATGAAAACTGGTGGGGTGGGGGAAGGGAAATCATAGCTTCCTTATAGAGTGTTAGGCATGCTGTATGTGGTTACAAAGTTACTGTCTTGGACCATTGAAGCATTGAGTTCCAGTTCTGTTAACTAGCTGAGTTATTTAACTTCCATGAACCCCTGTTTCCTTTTCATAGAATACATAATATCCCCCTCACAGGATTCAATCAGAACACGAGCATTGCACAGCTCGGTGCCTGGCACGTATTCGCGGCAAAAGGCAGTGGGATTTGTGGGGCAGGTTTGGAATGAAGGCAGGTGAACTGCAGGGAGGAGGGTGGTCACGGGCTTCAGTTGTGTTTGGCAATTGATATCCTGCTGAATGCTTAGGGGAGAAGAGGGGCTGGCCTGAGGATGCAGGGATGATAAAGATGGGGATAAAGACTTGGGCCAGAGCCCTGGCTGTTAACAGGAGGATCATGAGGGCCAGATAGGGATGAAAAAACGGCAGTATTCAGCACGGGGTGAAGTGCAGGAGTGAGGCGCTGCGGGCGGGATGATGGAGGTTTGGCCCAGAAACATGCGCTCACAGTGTTGTCCTCCTCGGTGAGGGTTTGGTGGGAAGAAGGGTTGGAAAGAGAAATTGTGATCCTTGGATTTAACCCGAGTTTGTCACTGATGCTGACAAGACCAGGGGAAGGATAAAGGCAGGTGAGTCACCCTAGGATGGCTCGGTGGGCTCCACAGAGCCAGAGCCACAGGCACCAGGAGGGGTTGAGAGCAGACCTCAGTGCACGTCAGCTGAGTGAGCCAACGCGAAGATGATGGGTCCAGCCAGAGCCCTGTCCTCTTTACACAAAAACCCGTGAAACACCTTTCCCATTCTAGCCTGTGTTCCAACCAAAGCTGGCCAGTGTCCAGGCCCTGCCCGCTCCCCAGGGAAGGGGTACAGTGATCCAGAAGGACAGCCCTGAGCTGTGTGTGAGGGACTGCATTTCAGACTTCTTGGAAGCCCTGAAGTTCAGAGACCTTGAGGACATCATTCATTGTTTCCATCCATTCAATGCCCCATTCACTGCTCCCATCCATTCAATGGCCCATTTATTCCCCTCCAGGCAACCGCACAACTGTCAGAGAGCCCTTTCGCTTTCCAAAAAAACCAAACCAAACCCAAACCCCTAAACAACAGCAGCAGAATCCAAGGAGAGGCCCATTTTCCTGGGTGGATTATTTCAGTGTGTCAAAACAATTACCTGTAGTATTCAAAATTTGGTCTCTCACCCCAGGGTGGGTCAGGCCTTCTGCATTGCAGAGGGTTTGACTCAACCTCCGAGCTTCTCCAGACTGAAGGGGATACACACCTGCTTGGCTGGATAAATGGGGTGGTCCTGATACACCATTTTTGGAGAAAAACTCCTTCATGTGCAGTGATCCACTTTGCCAAGTTCTCCTTGTGTGACCACCTCTTAGGCAATCCCTAGTGACATTCTTTGCCCACTTGTAATATACCAAATCCAGATTGTGCTAAGGTAGGCAATGAACGGCATCCAGTGGGAGCTATGGCATGGTGGTGCTGCCTACAGCCATCAGCTCATGTTTGCCCATGTCACCAGAGCAGAGTCTGTGTAATGACTTAAGAAGGATAGTTTTTGGGTCAGGCGCTGTGGCTCACACCTGTAATCCCAGCACTTTGGAAGACCGAGGTGGGCAGATCACGAGGTCAGGAGTTCGTGGCCAACATGCTGAAACCCCGTCTCTACTAAAATACAAAGAATTATCTAGGCGTGGTGGTCCGCGCCTGTAGTCCCAACTACTTGGGAGGCTGAGGCAGTAGAATCGCTTGAACCCGGGAAGCAGAGGTTGCAGTGAGCTGAGATCGCTCCACTGTACTCCAGCCTGGTGACAGCAATACTCAAAAACAAAAAAATGCAAAGAAACAAGGAAACCCCAAAACCATAGTTTTCAAATCTCAGCCATGGATGTGTAAAGTTGTCACAGGGCAGAGGGACCTCATGGGAGTGGGGAGAGCCGAGATGGGTGGATCGCCTGAGGTCAGGAGTTGAGACCAGCCTGGCCAACATGAAGAAATCTCATCTCTACTGAAAATACAAAAAATTAGCTGAGTGTGGTGGTGCATGCCTGTAATCCCAGCTCCTCGGGAGGCTGAGGCAGGAGAATCTCTAGGACCCGGGAGGTGGAGGTTGCAGTGAGCCGAGATTGCGCCATTGCACTCCAGCCTGGGCGATAGGAGCAAAACTCCATCTCAGAAAAGAAAAAATAAATAAATCAAAATAAAAAATAAAGTCAACTTCATCTTAAAACTAGCAGGTACAGTCCTTGCCAGCCACGACCCATGGTCATAAGATGTTTACAGCTGAGGAAACAGCTTCACAATGTCTGCAAAGAGAAACTCATGTGACAGCAGAATGTCCAGATGTCCCCGTATCACATAACAATATATGTTTTTACGATGTTATAGTCAGGCTTTGATGTCCTTATGCACTAAAATGCCAAGGGTAGTTTTCTTTAAATCAGCAACATAATAAATGTCATGCTGTCAGCCCCCCACATGTAGACATAGCTTAGCTTTTACATAGATAAGACCCCTGTATAAGAAAACCTTAGGCTAGGCGTGACAGGTCACGCCTGGGAGGCCAAGGTGGGTGGATCACTTGAGGTCAGGAGTTTGAGACCAGCCTGGCCAACGTGGTGAAACTCTGTCTTTACTAAAAATACAAAAATTAGCCGGCATGGAAGCACATGCCTGTGATTCCAGCTACTCAGGAGGCTGAGGCAGGAGAATCACTTGAACCTGGGAAGTTTCAGTGAGCTGAGATCACGCCATTGTCCTCTAGCCTGGGCAACAAGAGGGAAACTCTGTCTCAAACAAAAAAAGAGAAAAAAGAAAATCTTAGAAGAGGCGTTCCTCCTCTTGCTTTCTGAAGATGCTCTTCGCTGAAACTGAGTAGCTTTCAATAAATATCTCTTCTCACTGCACTCTGTGACTTGCCTTGAATTCCTTTGTTTGCAAGATGCAAGAACTCTCTCTTGCAGTCTGGATGGGTACCCCTTTTTCTGGCAACACTTCTGACACAACAAAAGTGGCAGAAAGGAGAGGTCTCCTCATGTGATAAAATTAAGGCAAAGAAGGATTTCACTGGGTGTGCTGAAAGACAGTTTCACTTGTCAAATATCAGGTACTCAGATGACGTGTGAAGGGAAAAGCCTGTGTGTACGGAATGCCTGCCTAGAGGGTATTATGGAATGCTGGCAATACACTGTTAGGATGACAAACGGGAAGGACTTATTAGAGATTGTGGAATGCTGGTGCTGCTTTTTTTTTTTTTGAGACGGAGTTTCGCTGTTGTTACCCAGACTGGACTGCAATGGCGTGATCTCGGCTCACCACAACCTCCGCCTCCTGGGTTCAATCAATTCTCCCGCCTCAGCCTCCTGAGTAGCTGGGACTACAGGTGCACACCACCATGCCCAGCTAATTTTTGCATTTTTAGTAGAGATGGGGTTTCACCTCGTTGACCAGGTTGGTCTCGATCTCTTGACCTCGTGATCCACCCACCTCGGCCTCCCAAAGTGCTGGGATTATAGGCGTGAGCCACTGAACCCAGCCAGTGCTGCTCTTGAGAATGGAGCTTACAGCATTGTTTGGCTTTGATGCGTTTTCATGTACAAAGAGAGCTGCCGGAATTATTTTTGCTCATCATCATAAATCATTGTTAACAATTATGGTAATATACAAATGTGTGAGAAGGAAAGAAAAATCCACCTGTTATTCCAACTACTGGATAGCCAACCACTCTTAAAAAAACAATCACTGATGGTCAGGTGTGGTGGCTCATGCCTGTTCCTTGTACTGTGGGGGCTGAGGCCGGTGGATCACCTGAGGTCAGGAGTTCG